ATGTTGGATTTATAGATAGAGCTAGTACATACACTAAAGCCACTAGTACACATAGTGTTTCGGGCAAGGCGAGGTGGGGAGAAACAGACTAAAACTTAATACTAATTGAGCTTTAAGTATAAATTGCATTAAAAGAAAAAAAAAAGATATAAAAAAGGGGGAAACATGGTAAAAAATAGCCAATATACAAGTTGGTCAACAAACAGCATTGCTTAAAAATAGTAAGACACAGGTTGACATTTAGGGGTAAGGTAGGTTACATGGAGTTAATTAGGTAGTACTTAGTTTTCATCTTAATTAAACTGGTTGAGAGAGATGCAGCCTTTGACATGATTGGGAAAGTCATTCCACATTCTGGTTCCCTTGATTTATAGAGCATTTCTAGTTTGATTAAGTCGTACTATTGGAATATCAAATAGGTATTTGTTTCTGGTGTGGTGCCCATGGGTTCTGTTACAACCTTCTAAGAAGCTTGTAAGGTCAGGATTGACATTACAATTCATAGTTTTAAATATATAGAGTACACATGAGAGGTTGTGCAGTGACTTAATATCTAACATTCAGAGATTTGTGTACCGAGTGCTGTCTGGGGCCAGAGTTAGATATTGTTCTAATAGAAGCTTTGTGTTGGGTAATTAGAGGACGTAAATGATTTTACGTAGTAGAACCCCAAGCACAAATACCTTAGTTGAGATAAGGATAGATGAGAGAGTAATAGAGCGTCACCAGGGCAGGGCGAGGTACAAAATATCTGATCTTAGAAAGACTGCCAACAGTTTTAGAAACTTTTTTTGGTGTTTAGAATGTGTCCCTGGAAATTCAGCTTGTTATCGATGAGGACCACCAAGGAATTTACCATCAACTTTACTACTGATTTGTATATTGTTTGTTCTTAAGATTAATTTCGTTTGAGGATTTATTACCAAACCAAATATAGAAAGTTTTGTCAATGTTAAGGGTGAGTTTGTTAGCAATTAGCCAAAGATGGACTTTATTTAGTTCAGTATTCACAGTGACATTTAGAGCAAGAGGGTCAGGACTGGAGAAAATGAAAGTTGTGTCATCAGCAAATAAGATTGGTTTGGGGTGTTGAGAGGCATTTGGAAGGTCATTAATGTAGACGAGAAAAAGGAGAGGGCCAAGTATGCTGCCCTGTGGAACACCAATATTTATGGCTAGTGTAGGAGAAATGGAATTATTCACAAACATACTGGAGCCTGTCAGTATGGCAAGACTGAAGGTATTGCAGGGAGTGACCTCTGACTCCATAATGATGTAATTTAAGAAGAAGGTTTTGGTGGTTAACAGTGTCAAAAGCCTTACGTAGGTCCACAAATAACCCAACAGGGAACACATTTTTATCAAGAACTGTATGTATCAAGTTAATCATACTAATTAGTGCAGCGTTAGTGCTTTTGTTATTGTTTAAGATTCGCTACTTGGAACAAAAAGTTCCAAGTAGCACAGGCTATGGTGAGCCCATAGTGCATTAATGCTTTTAATGGGTCTGAAACCATATTGGCAAGAGCTAAGTATATTGACTTTGGCTAGATATGAGTAAAGCTGCTTGTAGATTAGCTTTTCAAATATTTTTAACAGGGTTGGCAGAATTGATATAGGTCTGTAATTGTTCACATCAGTGAGATCGTCACATTTGTAGACTTGGGTTACTCTCGCTTTTTTTTAGAATATCCAGAAAGGTTTGGAGTTCAAGTGATTTGTTGAAGAGCAATGCAATGGCAGACACTAGAAATCTGGAGGCTTTTTTGTAAATTAGAGATGGTATCTGATCATGGGCGCTTGACTTAGTTTTAAGGGAAAGGATGACCTCATTAACATCAGAGGAATTAGCTGGAGCTAGGTACAGACTCAGGAGAGTTACCTGTAAGGTAATCTTTAATATTAGTGAGTGAGGATGGAATATCATGAGCAAGGGATGTCCCAATGGATGAAAAGAACCTATTGAATTCAATAACAATGTCTGAGGCCAAAAGCACATAATGACTGCATATAATGTTCAAATATCAGTGAATCAATGCTGTTCACGATGTTCACAGCGCTAGCCACAGCACAACAGCATTATTTCGTCCATCTAGAAATCCTCAAATGACTTCGTACGTTACTTTACAAAATAAACTTGTGGTCAATTATTCATTTACAGGATTTAGTGACCAGGATTGTAATAATATCAGGATTGTGGTGATAATTAGTGCTGTGCATGGGAGGAAGAAGTTTGGTGAAGGAGGGGAGGGAGGAAGCAAATCGAGGTAGCGTCACTGTGTGGCAGCCACTCTTGTTTTGCTCACATACTAGCTTAGTGGTTCACTATAGTGAACACATATGTACATGGGTATATACAATGTGTGTATATACCCATGTACGTATGTGCATAGTAGTGTGGGAGGAGGAATTTTGGCGAGGGACCGGTCGGACCACTCGGACCACTGAGCCGGTCGGCCGAGTGGACAGCACGCTGGCTTGTGATCCTGTGGCCCTGGGTTCGATCCCAGATGCCGGCGAGAAACAATGGGCAGAGTTTCTTTCACCCTATGCCCCTGTTACCTAGCAGTAAAATAGGTACCTGGGTGTTAGTCAGCTGTCACGGGCTGCTTCCTGGGGGTGGAGGCCTGGTCGAGGACCGGGCCGCGGGGACACTAAAAAGCCCCGAAATCATCAAGATAACCAGGGAGGGAATCCAGATAGCGTCACTGTGTGTGGCAGCCACTCTTGTTTTGCTCACCATACTAGCTTAGTGGTTTGCTATGGTGAACACATATGTACATGGGTATATACAATGTGTGTATATAGTGTAATAACAGCAACAGGAATATGTTGGGAGGTGCCATTTTGGTGAGGGAGGTGGCGTCATACTCGTAGCAGCGTCGTCTACTGTGTGACTTATCATGCAGTGTATGGTGGCCACTGTGCTGTTTGGACATAATACCGGCATACTTGCATAGTTATGGTGAATAAAACATGCAGATACGTATACATAACGTGTGTAAATAGTGTAATAAAAACAATAACAGTATGGTGGGAGGAGCAATGTTGGCGAGTAATGTGTAAGAAGTAAGCTAGGTGTTGGAGTGAGGGAGGGCTGGCTGGGTGTGGCAGCTCTCACTCGCAGAGTTCTGAGTGTGTTGATGGTGAATGTGTATAGTGTGTAAATATGTTGTAAATATACATAAATGAACATGAAACATTGGATATATGAGCAATATATGTGGACACATTTAAGACACAACACAGTATCTTGGAACAGTACGGATGTTCTACTGCCATAATATTATATACGTGTTCATTATACATAGGATTGGCAAGAAAAAACAAAACAAATGTACCTGGAAATGTACGTAAAAAATGAACATAAAAATATTTGTGGCAACTCGCTCATGTAGAACCTGGCGGGCGACTGGCTTCAGGAGTCTACGTCACGGGTGACCACCAAATTGTGGCGTCACACGCAATTTTCAGGACCCCATTGTGGGCCAAAGTACTGTAATTACAATTTTGATTTTTTTTTTACGTATCTGTAATCAGGGAAGGGTATTTTAACATTTTCTAAAACAAAAATATTTTTTTCCCAAGAATTTATTTCCTGTGCATAGAAGGGGTGCCGTATTTGGAAGGCGAGCAGCACAGTGGTTAAAGAATAAAGGTAATAGAACTGGTGTTAAACATAATTACTACATTACAAATTGATAGAACAGATTTTACCTCTGGAACTTTATAAGACTTATAAATGAACTATTGGCAGATACAAATGTGTATAAAACATTATTGGAACCAGGCGGTTGGATAAAGCCCCAACCAAGAGCCAAGGGGTCCGTGAAGACATCGAGCAAAGGCAGAGGAAGGCACCAGGGAATCAAACCCAGAAAAACCCCAAGATGAAGCCGGCAACTCAGCAGCCAGCGCAGGGGCCTGGGTCCACACCCACTGATAGCGGGAGAGGCAAAAGGGGCAGTCCCGAAGAAACCAGAATGACTTCCAAATCCAAGCCCTGCCCAAACAACACCCAAACACCCAACAACTGAAGATAGGCCACCACAACACGGGTTAAACTCATAAAAATGCAAGGTGCCAGATTTAGACCAAACTGGAAAACCCAGAAGCAGGTAGCATGCTGCCCCACAAAACCTAACCAATCCCTGACCCTTGTATGGAAAAGGACATGCCAAGATGCATCCTGGAGGTCCAGAGATATCATCCAAGCATCTGGCTAAGAACGAGCCAGACTTGGGACAATGAGGTCATCTGAAAGGAGGGACACAAGATGAATCGGTCCAACCCGGGGAGGTCGAGAATGAACCAGATCGAGAATGAACCAGGACTGGAAACAGGTGGGAAACCCACCACAGAGACGAAGTCTTTTTGATCACTTAGATGAAGACAGAAAACTGGAGCCAGAGCTAGATGAGAGGGCAACCATCACCGTTCTACATTAGCATAAGAATTGATGGTGGAGCAGCTGGCTGACTTGGTCTGCCACCCTCCTCCAACTCCCCACCCCCTCAAACAAGAGGGAAAAGTGGTACGTTCTAGCTTGTGCTTGTTTCACAAATTTCACAACAAGTTTCACAACAAACAATCTTTTTGATTGTTTGTATTGTTGGGGGGAGTTCTTTAGGCAGTTTTGAGGCTGCGGTCTCATTTCTAACTAAGCAGTAGTCAGTCTTGTTTCACTGATTTTCTGGGCGCTTGCCCTTGGTGGTGGCAGACATGAATATCTTTACATAAAACGTATTCATAGTGCCACTGCTCCCTGTGCCTCTCTGAGGGGGGGGGGGCCAGGTTTTGGCTCATGGTTCCCAGTAGGCCAATAAGAACTATGCAACTGATGGCACCTAGTAGAATGGCACATCAGTGTAGTAGCTTCAGGAAACTACAGTACAAGGGGTTCCCACCAGAAAAATTCATTAACATACAGCTAAACATGAAATGTACAAGTCAAATTAGGAATAATGCTTACAACAAATACCATATGTAATCATATTCACCTGAAGAAGAGTAGATGCCCTCCCAGCCAAGAAGCTTTTAAGGCCCAGAGCCGTAGCAAGAGCTGCTCCAGTAGCAGACAAATATGCTACACCCATTTGTTTCTCAGTCAAAGGAGATTTAGCATTCCGGTTGGTAAAATTGACTAGAGCATTGAAAGACTGGTTTGCCCACTGCCAGAATACAACTGCTGGAGTAGACCTAGAATGGTCATTAGAATAATCAGTATACAATACAAACAATTTGAAAATCAATTCAGCAAATGCTTTACATCATCATTATTGTTTCATATTTTCATGGGATAGAGAGGTAACAGCCCAGAGGAAAATAAGAGAGCAATACAAGGAAAGAACGTTAAAGATGTTCAAAAAGACTTGTCCAATTCCGTTGAACGTGCTGGCAAGTAAGGGATGAAACAATAGGATAAGAATGCAGAAAATCTGGAGCAGGGAATGGGATACAAAGTGATACAGTGTGGTGGCCCAACCACCTTAGATTTGTAGGTTCTGATGATACTGTGAAATTGATTGGAGTTTTCTTGGTGTTTCACTGTTCATGTCTCGCAGGAGGTTTAACAGTGGTGCAGGTGGTGCTTGTTTTGCCATGAAGTGCTTCTTTAACCCTTAAACTGCGCAACACATCATATGCAGGGTTGAGTAACTTACAATAAATTGCGCATCATGTCATATGTTGTGAAGGAGTACTACGCAAGAGTTAAATGACCAGCAGATACACAGGGTTCACCTCACCTTCATCAGGGCTCTTGTAAACAGACGCCATTTAAAAAAAAATTGTGGGCCACATTCCCAGGTGTGAGGGCCTCGGTAGTGAGTGAGCCACCAAGGCTGACACACGTAGCATGAGCTCACAGCACTGCTCACCAGCTTGTGACCACTGCATCGCCTAAAAATGCCGTAATATATATATGTGCATGCTATTATTTAGCGATGATAGTATTACAGAAGACCCCCTGACTGTGATAAAAATGATCAGGATTCTGATAATAGCAGGATTGTTGTGATAATTATGGCTGTAGTGGGAGGAGTAATCTTGGTGGGGAGGGAGGTAGCATTATCTGCTGACTCTGTGACCACCTTTTACTGTCTGGACTCACTATACCAGCCTAGTTGTTCACTATGGTGAACAAAACATGCAGATACTTATATATAATGTCTGTATATAGTGAATAAAAGCAAAAACAGTATGGTGAGAGGAGAATGGTGGCGAGTAAGGTGAGGTGACAGAGGGAGCGAGTGACAGCCAGTGGCGGGTTGCCACTTCCTGCCACTGCCACTCAGCATACCAATTTAGTGATTCGTTATGGTGAACACAAATGTAGATACAGTACAACCTCGATTCAACGTACCCCGATTCAACGAATCTCCGGCTAGTTCGCACACTTTTCAGGCCGAATTTACTCACCCGGTTCGACGAACAATGGTTCGCTGAAACGAGGGATGTTCGGATTTGCTTACGATGTCCAGACAGAGTTCACAGACTGGTGGAAAACTTTCCCATTCTATAACAGATTACAATTAATAATTCTCTCATATGACAAGTTGGATCACACAAGTGGATCACACAAGTGGACCACACAAATGGACCACACATGTGGACCACAAGTGGTCCACAAGCTTACGATTTTGGGACAGAGTTCACAGAGTGGTGGAAAACTTTCTCATTCTATCACAAATTACAACTAATAATTCCTTCATAAGAAGTTGGATCACACAAGTGAACCATATGAACCAAGTCCACACAAACACCAGCCAAAATGGTCCACACAAACACCAGCCAAAATGGTCCACACAAACACCAGCCAAAATGGTCCACACAAACACCAGCCAGTGATCCACACAAGTGAACAACTGAGTTTCCATGATTTTCGTTCACTGATTTGGGGCACACGTATCTTTGTACATTAATTTAAAGGATGAAGCGTGATTACCTAGCTACATGTGGTAAAATCTCCTTATAGACATTTTCTGTGATGAAACAAGATGAGTGAGGGTGGACAGATAAGAGAATACTATACTGTAAACCTCACTTTACAGTGAGGTTTCACTCACTTTCGTCTGTGTGTCGTCATAGTTCAGTGACCCATGACTTTTGAAAGTTTCATATTAATAAATAATTTCTAAAACCAGTGTTTTAATAGCTTTTTATTATCCTAATTAAACTAAACTAAATAAAACCGAAAATATGCTGTAACATGATAGACATCTGCTCTTTGAGAAATTACTGTATGTTATTGGAACAACTCTAGTGTGAATGGACGGGTCTAATCCCTGTACACACAGCACCATGCTTGTTTCATCCCACCCTCCCTCTCTCCCCCTCCCTCCCTCCCTCCCTCCCTCTCCCTCCCTCCCTCCCTCCCTCCTCCCTCCCTCCTCTCTCTCTCTCTCTCTCTCTCCATCCATCCATCCCCTCCCTCCATCCATCCATCCATCCATCCCCCTCCCTCCCTCCATCCCCTCCCTCCATCCATCCATCCCATCTATCCCCCTCCCTCCATCCCTGCATCCATCCATCCATCCCCTCCCTCCATCCATCCATCCCCTCCATCCATCCATCCCCTCCATCCCCATCCCCTCTATCCATCCATCCATCCATCCATCCCCTCCATCCATCCATCCATCCCCTCCCTCCATCCATCCCCTCCCTCCCTCCATCCATCCATCCATCCATCCCCTCCCTCCCTCCCTCCATCCATCCATCCATCCCCTCCCTCCATCCATCCATCCATCCCCTCCATCCCCTCCATCCATCCATCCATCCCCTCCCTCCAGCCATCCATCCCCTCCCTCCATCCATCCATCCATCCCCTCCATCCATCCATCCCCTCCATCCATCCATCCATCCATCCATCCCCTCCCTCCATCCATCCATCCATCCATCCATCCCATCCATCCATCCATCCCCTCCCTCCATCCATTCATCCATCCATCCATCCATCCATCCATCCATCCATCCCATCCATCCATCCCCTCCCTCCATCCATCCATCCCCTCCATCCATCCATCCATCCCCTCCATCCATCCATCCCCTCCCTCCATCCATCCATCCATCCATCCCCTCCCTCCATCCATCCATCCATCCCCTCCCTCCATCCATCCATCCATCCCCTCCCTCCCTCCATCCATCCATCCATCCCTTCCCTCCCTCCCTCCCTCCATCCATCCATCCATCCCCTCCCTCCATCCATCCATCCATCCATCCCCTCCCTCCATCCATCCATCCCCTCCCTCCATCCATCCATCTCCTCCCTCCATCCATCCATCCATCCCCTCCCTCCATCCATCCATCCATCCATCCCCTCCCTCCATCCATCCATCCATCCCCTCCCTCCCTCCATCCATCCATCCCCTCCATCCATCCATCCCCTCCCTCCCTCCCTCCATCCATCCATCCCCTCCCTCCCTCCATCCATCCATCCATCCCCTCCCTCCCTCCATCCCTCCCTCCATCCATCCATCCCCCATCCCTCCCCCCTCCATCCATCCATCCATCCCCTCCATCCATCCATCCATCCTCCTCCCTCCCTCCCTCCATCCATCCATCCATCCCCCCCTCCATCCATCCATCCATCCCCCCCTCCATCCATCCATCCATCCCCCCCTCCATCCATCCATCCATCCCCTCCCTCCATCCCCTTTCTCCCTCCATCCATCCAGAATTGAAGAAACAAATCAAGTTAAAAAAAAAGTTAACTGGGTCAGAGTTAGGGTTATCAGCGAGTCGGTCCCTTCACCACCACCGACACACCTCCCCACCCCCCCCCCCACCCCTACAGCCCATACACACACACACACCCTCAAATCATCCATCCTTCAATCCCTCCCTCCATCCTAATATCAATCCATCTCTATCCTCTCCTTCCCTGCCTCCCCCCCAAGCTCTGCCTGCCTCCCTCCGTGCCTGTCTCCCTCCGTGCCTGCCTCCCTCCCTGCCTGTCCTCCCTCCCAACCTCCCACTGATTTGTGGCAGACGTATCTTTGTAAATTAATTTAAAGGCTGAAGCGTGATTAGCTAGCTACATGTCGTAAAATCTCCTTATAGACATTTTCTGTGATAAAACAAGGTGAGTGAGGGTGGACAGATAAGGGAATACTGTTCTGTAAACCTCACTTGGTTTTCCTTCGTCTGTGTCGTTATAATTCAGTGACCCATGACTTTGAAAGTTTCAGACTAATAAATCATTTCTAAAACCAATGCTTTAATAGCTTTTTATTATCCTAATTAAACTAAACTAAATAAAACCGAAAATATACTGTAATATGATAGACATCTGCTATTTGAGAAATTATTTGTTATTGGAACAACTCCAGCGTGAGCGAGTGGACGGGTCTAATCCCTGTACACACACCATGCGTTTCTCGTTTCAATTCGTCACCACAGTTCAGTGACTACGGCTTCGAAATAATAAAATTAATAAATCATTTAATCAATGGTCATTTAACAGATGATGAGATTATACAAAATGTTACTGGCACTGTTGACAACGACGGAAAGGAAGATGAGGATGAGAATGATAGCAGTTTACAATCTGCTTCGTGTGCTGACGCATTGTTCTATGTTGAAAAACTCCTTGATATTGTTTCACAAACTGACAATCCAGAGCTACCAGGCTTTTATCAACACCTAAGGACGATGAAAGATATTTGTCTCAAGGACATGACACAAAGAAGGAAACAAATGAAAATGAGTCAATATTTTTCACGAACTAGCAGCAAATCAATCAGCATAGCCGTACCCAGCACCAGCACAGCCGTACCCAACACCAGCACAGCCGTACCCAGCACCAGCACAGCCGTACCCAGCACCAGCACAGCCGTACCCAGCACCAGCACAGCCGTACCCAGCACCAGCACAGTCGTACCCAGCACCAGCACAGCCGTACCCAGCACCAGCACAGCCGTACCCAGCACCAGCACAGCCGTACCCAGCACCAGCACAGCCGTACCCAGCACCAGCACAGCCGTACCCAGCACCAGCACAGCCGTACCCAGCACCAGCACAGCCGTACCCAGCACCAGCACAGCCGTACCCAGCACCAGCACAGCCGTACCCAGCACCAGCACAGCCGTACCCAGCACCAGCACAGCCGTACCCAGCACCAGCACAGCCGTACCCAGCACCAGCACAGCCGTACCCAGCACCAGCACAGCCGTACCCAGCACCAGCACAGCCGTACCCAGCACCAGCACAGCAGTACCCAGCACCAGCACAGCCGTACCCAGCACCAGCACAGCCGTACCCAACACCAGCACAGCCGTACCCAGCACCAGCACAGCCGTACCCAGCACCAGCACAGCCGTACCCAGCACCAGCACAGCCGTACCCAGCACCAGCACAGCCGTACCCAGCACTAGCACAGCCGTACCCAGCACCAGCACAGCCGTACCCAGCACCAGCACAAAAGCAGCTGAAGCCAACACAGCAGCAGCGAGCACCAGCAAAGCTGATGCAAACATCTAAAAACATCGTGTGTGAAGTGAACAATTAGAATAAGTGTTAAATTTAAGTGTGTACATAGTGTTAAAATTAAAGTTGCAATAATTCTAATGTACAATAGTTTTCAAGAACTGTATTGTAGTACTCAACATACAGCAAAACCACTTTTAATAATACAGTGCTAACGGCTTAATGCACTGCAGTACCTATTTACTGTAGAGCATTCACAACTTCACAAAACTTCAAGATGGACATAACTCCAACAATAAGGTAAATACATGAATTACAGTATTTTTAGTAGAGTAGTAAAATATAGGTACAGTAAGTAATATGATACAATACATTTTTATTGTGTACAAGAAAAAAAAAAGACACTGACGCAAACGCCTCTTGAAGGTCACCTCTTGCAACGAATCCAATGCTCCAACGAACTGGGGGTGGTCCCATATAGTACGTTGAATCGAGGTTGTACTGTACTTATATATAACGTGTATATATAGTATAATAATAGCAAAAGGAGTGTGGGGGAGAAGCCATTTTGGTGAGGGAGGTGGCGACATCTGCATGATTCATCATGCTGGGTAGTGGTGGCCACTATGCTCTTTGGGCACTATACCGGCTTAGTTGAACGGTTATGGTGAACAAAACATGCAAATACTTATATATAATGTGTGTATATAGAGTAATAACACCACAAACAGTATTGTTGGGGGGAGAAATTTTAGTGCGTCTGACCTTGAATGTGTGAGGGAGGCAGCCGCCAGCTGACTGTGTGTAGCGACGTCTCTTTGTGCCTGAACTAGCTAACTCAGCTTAGTTGTACATTTGTGGTGAACAAAACATGTAAATACTTATACTGTATATAACATCTGTATATAGTGAATTAAAGCAAAAACAGTATGGTAGGAGGAGAATGTGGGCTAGTGAGGTATTGAGGGAGTGAGTGGCAGCGAGTGGCTGGCTGGTGTGTTGTGGTCACTCCTCGTTACTTTTTGACTCATAATACCAACTTAGTGGTTCATTATAGTAAACAAAACATGCAGATACTTATATATAACCTGTGTATATAGTGTAATAACTGACAAAGTATTTGTTCACTGTTTGATGAACTTAATAATTGAATCAACAATATGCACACCTTAATTTTGAGTACAGCGATGATTCACACATTTTATTATATAAATATATCACACTACACACTATTGAATAATATTACAGCAAAAAATGAGGAAAAATCAGTCAGAGACATTGAAATAATTAGGCAATTATCTCTTTGTGGCCACTACTGCCTGACAGCTGGGGAGGAACAGACCGTCTGGGACGCATGATGAGTCAACGCCTGTTTTTTGCCAGACTTTTCCACTCTATAGCGGGCAAAATATGCCACTTACGATTTTTTTATTATTTTTCCCCATGATCAAAGAACACAAATTAACAGGTTTAGAAGAAAAAATAACTTTTTTTTGTTATGTGCCTGCGGGTGACAATGGCCAAATAGCCCTCAGCAACATAAGGGTTAATCATGTCGGTGATTTATTTTTGGCTGTTACATCCGCTGTGTTGTCTTCCACTTCATTTGGCTTTGGCTTCTCATTACTCAATCGTGTTGTGAATAAAGCTTGTAGTAATCTGGGCCAAAGTGCTCTGGTTGCAGTAGGATGAAGTCACAGCAGAAGTGTATGGTCTCCTCTTCGACATACCAGGGGCTCTTAGTGCTCCACTTTGTTTCTTTCTTGGATTTGCTTGTAGAAACTTTGGGTCAAAACATGCTTTTGCTTTGGGGTACAGTCAGTGTCACTTGCATTTGGTATGAAGAGGACTTGACATGAGCCTTGGTCAGATGCTTGATCACTGTGTTGTGTCAATAATGTGTTCTGACTCTTGACACTTCAGTGATGTTCACTGAAGTGTCGACATCAGTCAAAGAGAAGGAGTTATCCTGGTTGGAGATTGGCAGTGCATCAGGTGCAGTAGGGAGACCATTTTTTATCCCCCCCCCCAAAAAAAAAGGACACTGCTACATATGTATATGTATGTGTGTGTGTGTGTGTAATTACCTAAGTGTAGTTACAGGATGAGAACTACGCTCGTGGTGTCCCGTCTTCCAAGTACTCTTCATCGTATGGCGCTTTGAAACTACTAATGGTCTTGGCCTCCACCACTTTCTCACTTGACTTTTTTTCCTGAGCTTGAAACTATGACCTATTCTTGAGGTTGTCAGTTTCAGGAATTCCCCTTTGTCAATTTGGTCAATTCTTGTTATTATTTTGTAATTGGTGATCATATTGACTTTTTTCTTCTATCTTCTGATTTTGGCATATTTAATGCCTCTAGCCTCTCATCATAACTCTTGTTTTTCAGTTCTGGAAGCCATTTTGTAGCATGCCTTTGCACCTATTCCAATTTATTGTTCTTGGAGATATGGGCACCATACAACTGCTGAAAATTCCAATCTTGGTCTCGCATGTTATGAACAGTTTCCTTAGTATGTCACCATCCATGTAATTAAAAGGGATTCAGAAGTTGAAAAGTGCATCATATGCTCCTCGCACAGTGTCCTTTGTGTGTTCCTCTCGTTACATTCTATTATCCAGAACCACCCCTACATTTCTCTATTAGGTGTTTTTTAAGTCCTTTCCACATAGTTTGCAAGTTATGTGTGGCTTATTTTTTCCTATTTCACATTCTATAACATGGCATTTGTTCACATTGAGTTCCATTAGCCACATGATCCTACAAGCACTTATTTTATCCAGATCAAATTGAAAGGCATGACATTTGTCAAAAAACAAACGATGAATGTAATGAAACTCCATTTTCAGGGTGAATACCGGAGCCTCCCTGGAGCTATCCAGGCTGAATGGATATGTACAACTTTCTGGCATCAGTCAATGTGCATGAGTCCTTGCCTACTGAGAACCACAAGCCAAAACCTGGCCCCCTCAGAGAAGTGTGAGGAGCAACGGCTTATAGAAACACCCATGTGGTTGGAGAATTCTATGTCTGCCATCGACCGGGTCTGGCACCCAGAAAAGCAGGCGCCCCAAAACAAACCCCTATTCTGGTGAAACTATTGCTACCGAAAGCCGAACAAGTGGACAGAACTCCCCAAACGAAAATTATCCAACGAGCATGACCATCACATTACTGCGATGCTGTCTACACAACTCCCCCCCCCCCCCCCTTGCAGGGAGGGGGAAGGGGGAAACCACAGACCTTCGCGCCGGCGATCCAACCACCAGTTCTTAGGCTGGATGTCAAAACACGCAAAAAACACCGCTGACCAGAGGGAGGGAGGTATGCCGGAGAGCCTCCGAGACTCACCCAGAAAATAGCGTTTCATTACATTGAACGCAGGTTTTCTGGGGGGAGCCCCATCGGCTCCCCAGAGCTAACTACCAAAAGATAAGCAAAAACAAGGACTTACTCGGGAGGCAGTCAGTCCTCACTCCTCAACGCGAAGTCAAGACAACTGGCTTCAACCACCAACCCAATGCAACGCAGGCCCTACCAGGTCCAGGGACACTGACAAGGTACCGAGCAGCCAGGACCCTGTTCGACCTCCAAAAACCCCGGGCCCGAATGTCAACCCAAGACAGTAGCCAAAGCAGCAAACTTACGAACATCTTGGGCAAGGGGATAGACCGCAGACTGGCTAGACTTAATAACCCTGCAGACTACCTGAGAAACCCGAGCCCGGGAACAGGGAAGGAGGGAAACCGGGTCAACCCAAAGTGCATCCCCGGCCACCGAAACCATGGCGCACGAATAACGGCGGAGAGCCGCAACCGGACACAACACATGATGCTCCCCCGGTCTAACCAACCAAGCATCAACAACCCAAGGACCCCTTCAGAAAGCAGCAGTCTCATTCTTTGCCAGAAAAGAAGGAGACGGCTGCAACCGAACAAACCTACCACCAGGACCGAAAGAGCAGAAACCCCTGCGCCGGAGGAGAGCATGAAGCTCCCCGACCCGACCCCCAGAGGCCAATGCCAACAGGAAAAAGAGCCTTAGAAAAACAATCCTGAACCGAAGGGGCCACAACAAACCGAGGAGAGAGAAAAAAGAGCACCCAGTCCAAAGACCAGGACAGCTCAGGAGAGGCATGAGCAGGCCGGAGGTGAAACAACGCACGAGACAGCTTGCAGAAATCTGGCAGGAGTAACAGCAACACTGAAAGCAAGCTGGAGCGGCTCCGCAAGCGCCGCACAATATGAGGTGACAGTATTCGGCATAAGGTGATGATCCTGGAACAACCACAAAAGAAAGGACAACACAACTTTATCAGAGACCAAAGTACACCTACGCAGTGATAGGAAAAACTGGAAGGACTGCCAGGAAACTTCATACTGCCGCCGAGAAGAAGCACGCAGGTGGGAGACCAACAACGAAGCCACCAGCGCCCAATACAAGTGATGATAGACTCGAGTCAGAGGAGAAGAATGAACCAGACTCGTACTGGGCTAGACCAATCTGCTGAAAGTGGCAGAACCACGGGAAGACCCTCGAGTTTGGACACTGAGCAAGCAGCGCCTGAAACCAAGGCTGGGCTAGCCACCAAGGAGCCAGAAGGATAACTCTCCCCTGGTAAGTCTCCAAGCAAGCCAGGACCTGGAGCAACAGCTGAATTGGGGAAGAGAGGTACAGGTAACCCCACCTCGCCCAGTCCTGCCTGAAGGTGTCGACCCCGATGGCCTCGTAGTCGGGAAAGGGCATTACGTATACCTGGAGACACCTCGACCACGCCGATGTGAAGAGATCCACTTCCGGAGGCCCGAACGTCTAACAGAGCCAACTGCACGAGTTGTCGTCGACCGTCTATTACGTGGATAGGGAATGAACCAGGACAGGCCGTCCGCCAGGACACTGGACAACCCCCACCCCCTTTCCCAAAAGTGAACTGCCAGGAGAGCCATACCTCGAGAAAACAGCAGACGAATCACCCAAAGCGACCAGCCTCAAAGAGCCAAGGACCACATGAAACCCTCTCGGTTCAGACAATGAACCATCAGGGAACAGTCCGAAGAGCCAAATCGTTGATCCACAAGCGACCCAAACCCTCTGGAGCGACAACCACACAGCCGCGAACTCCCGCACCGTGCCGTGAGCCCGACGGAAGGCCGGACCCCACCGTCCCTGACCGGCCTGGTGAGCACTGGTCACAAAGCCCCAGCCAAGAGACGACACGTCCGTTAAAGCATCGAGACAGGGCTCGGGTAGGCGTCAAGGCACTGACCCCCCAAAAAATGAAACCGGCAATGCAGCAACCAACGCAAAACCACCGGAGGCTTTGGTCGCCGAACCCAGCGGTCGCGAGAGAGGCGGAAGGGACGTCCACGAAGGAACCAGAACAGCTGACAAAGCCACACCCGACCCAGCGGGTAGACCATCATGGCAAAGTTCAGGCTCATGCACAAACCCTCGAGCAACCACCGCATGACCCAGAAGCCCCTCAGAAACAGGCAAAGGCAGGAACGCAGGCAAAGCAGAGCCGCTGGAGGAAGAGACAAGAAAGCAGTGCGAGCATCCCACACAAGACCCAGCCAAGACCGAACATGAGATGGAACTAGATGGGACTTCTGCCAGTTCACCAAGAACCCGAACCCATCGATCTGGGAAAGAACCAAATCCCTGGTGAGCAGACACGCGAACTGGCTGGGAGCCCAAACCAGCTGGTCATCGAGGTAGGCCAGAACCCGAACACCTAACAGACGCAGGCGGGTCACCATGACCCGAGTAAGGTGAGTGAAAATGCGAGGTGCCAGATTCAAGCTGAATGGGTGGCAACGAAAGCCGTAACCTTGATGCCCCACAACAAAACCGAGCCAGTCCCCGAACCTCGGATGAACCGGGACGTGCAAATACGCATCCTTGAGATCCAGGAACACCATCCATGCACCCGGCTTTAACAGAAGAAAGACCTGGGACAGAGTAGTCATCCAAAAGGAGGAACAATAAACCCACAGGTTCAGATGGGACAAGTCCAGAATGAACCAGAGGTCCACGCAGGTCTGTCTCAGGACCGGAAACAGGCTGGAAATCCAACTGAGGGATGAGGTGTTTCGACCACGCCCAAGTGAACCCAATCCGAGATGTCTCGACAGAGTGAAGGAGGCCTGCCCCGCCAGCCCTGATCCCACTGAAAGAGGAGGGGCCACCCAAAGCCAACGTAGACCACACGAAACAACCCGAAAGGCCCACAAATCGTGGGACCAGGTGCGAGCCTCTCCTCCCCCCAATGCCCCGTCAATGGGACGAACCGCGAAAGGGCCGACACACCTTACAAGAACCTAAGCAGCGCACAGGGCAATCCCCATGCCGACCAGAAAAAAAAGACGGAACCAGAGGCTGCGCCTGCTCCAAATCTAGCACCACAGTCCTACCACGATGGGAAGAACCGAGCCCTGGCACGACTCTTCCAATAAGGCCCCCATGAACCCACCCCTGGAGAACTAATAAGTTGGACATAGAACGGCAACTAGCCAAAGCTGCCTTCAGATACTGCACCACCGCAGATTCTGCAAACAGCAGCGAACAAAAAGGGGAAGACAACCTAAGAGCCAGAGCCCAAGCAGAATCCAAGAAAGAAGCAAGCACCGCCTGCCGACACACGAGTCAAGATGCAAAAAAAGCGAAACTGCATCCCGCAGGAGTGGCACGAACAGCTTCAACAATGCAGGCAACACACACACCGCCGAGGGCAGCACACCAGACCCAGAGGCAGCCCCCAAACTCCACATCCAACTCAAGCCAATCCGAGGACAGCTCGAAGAGGGAGAAGAAACGCAGGGCCAAAGCCAGCAGGCCACGTGTACTTAAATCCTCCGCGTCCAAGGAACCTGAAAGGGAAGGAACCTGCACACGAAGCTGCATCACACCAACATCCCGCGGAAGGGCAAGGATGCACAAACATGCATCGAGATGCTCGAATTAGTCCCCCAGGAAAACCTGCAACACCGTCTGAGCCTCCCTCCACTCAAGCACGCAGGACTGACAGAACATGTGCCAAGCCTCAAATGAGAGAAGCGGGCAGTCTGCCAACCAGAACGACTCTGGAACTACTTCATAACAAACCCAGTACAGACACGAAGATCCATACACGAAGGAACACGGATCCATCACGAAAGCATAATCCGGGTCGTGCAGGAGGTAAGCCGCAAGGGCTTCCCGCACCACATGTGACTGGACACGTAAAGCCGAAAACCTCCGGATGGACGGGACTGAGGAACCCACTGGATCAGGAACCCGCAGAGCCGGTGGCTGAGCAGACAGAACACTGGTCGCGTAATCCTGTGGTCCCGGGTTCGATCCTGGCCGCTGGCGAGAAACGATGGGCAGAGTTTCTTTCACCCTGATGCCCCTGTTACCTAACAGTAAATAGGTACCTGGGAGTTAGTCAGCTGTCACGAGCTGCTTCCTGGGGGTGGAGGCCTGGTCGAGGACCGAGCCGCGGGGACACTAAAGCCCCGAAATCATCTCAAGATAACTCAAGATAATCATGGAACCGAACCCGGGGAGGGGTAGACGCCAAATACAATTCGTACAAGGAGGGAGCGAAAGAGGAACCCCTCTCCTTATAACACCAAGCCCCGATCCGAGGGTATAAAAACCCATGGGGAGTCCAATGGGGCCCAAGGCCCCCAAGTCAACCCCTCCTCTGCCCCGGAAACCTCACCCTGAGGACCCGGGTCTAAAGAAAACCCCCCACCTCTAAAGAAAAGGCAGGAGCCGCCGAAAAAGCAGGAACGAAGGGGGCCCACTGGTCAGACCCAGAATCTCTGGTTAGAGGACCAGGCTCCAATTCCTCTGCCACAACCCCGGAAGGGGACTCCGCAGAGACTGCCTCTGATCTCAACACCAACTTGACCCTGCCCTGACTCCGAAATCCTCAGACATTTTGGAGCCATAAGCAAAGAAGGGAGGAACCAGATGCACAACAGAAGAGGAAGGACTAGGAAGGGCGGACAGAAACAACGGCGAAGTGACTCCTATCCCAAAGTTCAAGTCCATAAAACCAAAACGGGGTAGTCTTCGGGCATCCAGGGATGCAACCAACCTAGCGAGTTGCAGCAACCTGTACCTAGCATACAATGCAGCAGCCACCTGCACCCTCATATCATGATCAGTAGCTTGGGTGAACTGGAGCATGTACAGGCAACAAACATCGGACGACTCCGGGTCAAAAGAATCACCGACCCCACAAGCAGCATGGCGGAGGCACAACTGATGAGTGTCACCCTCAGAAAATGACTCCACCCTTCACGGAAAATGAAAAGGAAATGTGTGAAACATTAAATGAAAAGTTCCAAAGTGTGTTTGTACAAAATGAAATCTTCAGACAACCAGACACAATAAGAATTCCAGAAAACAACATAGAGCGGATAGAGGTGTCTAGAGATGAAGTGGAAAATATGCTAAAGGAGCTCAATAAGAACAAAGCAGCTGGCCCAGATGGAGTTTCACCATGGGTTCTGAGAGAATGTGCATCTGAGCTCAGCATTCCACTTTACCTGATCTTTCAGGCATCCCTGTGTACAGGAATCGTAGCAGACGTGTGGAAACAGGCTAACATAGTTCCAATCTACAAAAGTGGCAGCAGGGAAGACCCCCTCAATTATAGACCTGTATCATTGACAAGTGTAATAGTGAAAGTATTGGAAAAACTAATCAAAACTAAATGGGTAGAACACCTGGAGAGAAATGATATAATATCAGACAGACAGTATGGTTTTCGATCTGGAAGATCCTATGTATCGAATTTACTCAGTTTCTATGATCGAGCCACAGAGATATTACAGGAAAGAGATGGTTGGGTTGACTGCATCTATTTGGACCTAAAAAAAGGCTTTCGACAGAGTTCCACATAAGAGGTTGTTCTGGAAACCTCTTATGTGGTTTCCTCCTCCAAAATATTGGAGGGGTGATAGGTAAGCTTCTAACATGGATGAAAAATTTTCTGACTGATAGAAAATGAGGGCAGTAATCAGAGGCAATGTATCAGACTGGAGAAATGTCACAAGTGGAGTACCACAGGGTTCAGTTCTTGCACCAGTGATGTTTATTGTCTACATAAATGATCTACCAGTTAGTATATAGAATTATATGAACATGTTTGCTGATGATGCTAAGATAATAGGAAGGATAAGAAATTTAGATGATTGTCATGCCCTTCAAGAAGACCTGGACAAAATAAGTATATGGAGCACCACTTGGCAAATGGAATATAATGTTAATAAATGCCATGTTATGGAATGTGGAATAGGAGAACATAGACCCCACACAACCTATATATTATGTGAGAAATCTTTAAAGAATTCTGATAAAGAAAGAGATCTAGGGGTGGTTCTAGATAGTTTTCTATCACCTGAGGACCACATAAAGAATATTGTGCAAGGAGCCTATGCTATGCTTTCTAACTTCAGAATTGCTTTTAAATACATGGATGGCGATATACTAAAGAAATTGTTCACGACTTTTGTTAGGCCAAAGCTAGAATATGCAGCGGTTGTGTGGTGCCCATATCTTAAGAAGCACATCAACAAACTGGAAAAGGTGCAAAGACACGCTACTAAGTGGCTCCCAGAACTGCAGGGCAAGAGCTACGAGGAGAGGTTAGAGGCATTAAATATGCCAAAACTAGAAGACAGAAGAAAAAGAGGCGATATGATCACTACGTACAAAATAGTAACAGGAATTGATAAAATCGACAGGGAAGATTTCCTGAGACCTGGAACTTTAAGAACAAGAGGTCATAGACTTAAACTAGCTAAACACAGATGCCGAAGAAATATAAGA